TCTATAAATAACATTATAACAATTTATTGACCTATGTTTTTTTTGTAACAGCAGAGACTGAGATGTATGACATGAGGCATTTAAATATCTGTATTGAAAATAGCTAGACTTTTACGACAACTCATGGAGAATGTTCGCTCATTAATTAAAGGCACAATAATTTCGCAAAATGCAAGAAACAAAAGTCCGACAACCTTACTTAAATGGACAACATTTCCTAATATACACAAGGCCTCAAAGTTATAAAACTTTTTCTCAGTAGGCTCTGCCTTGAATCTTAGGAATTTCATTGGTCAGGTGACATTCTGTGCAAGTTTCGAAACAATCAAATACATGTTCTTTAGTTTGAGCAAAAAAAATGGTTTCATAACCTCGGACAATGTACTGGTCTGCTCTAGGATGAAGGCTTTAGAGTGGATTCTTAGCATGGTGGCAGCAACTGATTCTACCCATGGGAGTAGTGCAGCCCAAGATCAGCAAGCACATCCAAGTATAAGATCACGGTCTGCTCATTTCCTTATTCAGTCAGTAAATATTTTTGAAATTTTCCCTAAAAAGATTAATGGTTTTGTCCAGATTGAACGCTGGACAAGTCCATTTTAAGATATTAAGCTGGATAAGACTGAAGCTGTCATCTTAAATGAAGCTAAAATAGTTTGTTGAGATTAAATGGTTGTTCACATTATAAATATGGAAATATTAACCTTCTACTCGACCTCCCAAGGTTTTGTCAAATAAAGTCGCAGTAATTCCAAGTTTTGTTGTACGAAGCAGACGGTGCAATCCCCGGGGGAAGTAGACTTGAACATAACAGATATGTGCATTCCCATTATCCTGTACATATTATGCAACAGGCTGCATTTTACATGCTACATCTATCGCTCATAACACAAAGAAAGAGAATATTGTGAAAATCAACAATTCAAATTTGATCGAAAATGAGTTCTTCTGAATCGATTTACACAATATTTGCATTAAACTGCAAAATGAGTGAAGTTTTAAGCCAATTTATAGAAATCCTTGAGAAAATAAAAAAAAAATTTAAATTCATAAAAATCATTAAATTTGGAGCAGATATCAATAAAATTCTTATAACGCTTAGTCATAATATCAGTCAATAATGAAAAAATATATTTGGTATGTATAAAAAGAATGATCGACATGTCGCTAAATAAAATATTGACTGGCATATCTATTGAAATCTGCACTAAAATTAAAATGTACTCATTCTGACCCGATTTTTCGTTGCCCTAGACAAAAAGACATTCTTTATTACGTCTAGCATTGCAAGTGATTACTCTTAAAATGATTCACTGAAATAAAGATAGAATAGTAGACAGTCATCATTTATTTTCATTGACAAACCAACCCAAAGAGCGTGATTGGCTGACAAGCGTGATCGGCAATAATATCAATTAAAAATATATACTTCCAGTATAGTCAGGTCGGCCTGCACACCAATACAGTCCAACCATACTCTAAATTGTCTACTGTTCAGTCTTAATATTTTGCACTTTTGGTATTGCTGTTCAGTCTAAATATTTTGCACTTTTGGTAATTTGCTGTTCAGTCTAAATATTTTGCATTTTTGATATTGCTGTTCAGTCTTAATATTTTGCATTTTTAGTATCGCTGTTCAGTCTTAATATTTTGATATCATCTCCCATATTAATGGACTAATGAAATTTCAAAGCAGGCCAAGTCCATTACACAAATTTAGCAGGTTACTATCAAAATCTATAGTATTATGACCGTATACTTTCTGAAATGATGCCAAAAGGATGTACAAAATAATACATTTGTTAAATTCTTGTTTATAAGTAATATAAGAAGCCGATTTGTTTATAAGTACAACCTACTGGAGATGATAAGATTTCGCTAAAATAAACTTTCAAATTCTATTGTGACTTTATCCCTGATAAGAATTCATGTCTTGGAATGAAAACTATTTGGAAATGCAGACTAAATAACCTTTTAATCTGTATCAGGAATGTTTAACAAATTGCATTTCGCCCACTTTCTCCCCGACATAAACAATGCAAACATATTTTTGTCTCAACAGATTGAATACCGATTTTCAATGAGGGTAAATTGTTATTTGCTATTCAAAAATAGTTCGAGTCCTAGCAGCGATACATCAGTGGAAACCTATGATACCAAAATAGCGTCAAACCAAACCTGTATCTCTGTGCAGTCTGTCCAGGCTCGATACTGGCTTGTTAGACCATTTAAATACCAAAATCTCTACAACTAAAAATGGACTGTTCAGAATCTAAATCAGGGAAAGTCCATTACACCAATTAGGAAAAAAACATTTTAATAGATTTCATGTGTATAAGAAAGAAAATTTTTTCGAAAACAGATTTCTTTGATATAATATAGTCTTAATTATATACATACATAAATATCTATAGTATGACCATCTATGGTTTTCCTTCATTATTGTTCTCTATATAATAACGAGGTTTCTTCATTATAATTACTTAGGTCATAACTCATTGTAATTTTCTATTTTTCTACAAAACTGAACAAATTAATGTTTTTCATTACGTTTAAGAAACCATAAATAAATGTTTGTCTTTTAACGAAAAATTCATTCCGACAATAATCTACAGATATAGAACTAATGAATTTTCAATCATGGAATTGGGGGGAAAAAAACGGAAAAAATAACAAATTGCAAATATCTGATATGATATTTCCTGATACGTGAGTTACTGAATGTCAAATTAGCAGAGGAAAGAAAAACACCCACAAGATATATAACTAATAATTACAGTGATCGTTTTAACAAAACGTCTAATGACGATCGTGTCAGAACATGAACAAGGCGAGGACAAAATATAAATAGATATATACGGCCCGATATTTGTTTATGACATCGAATATAGAAGCATACAAACGTCAAAGATATTTCTGGCCCTCGATCATATGTTTAATGTTACAAAGTCTGAGCTGTTTCATCAGATATAACTTTATGTATGATAATGAAATAACAGTAACAAGTCTTTTAAGTTCATAATAAAAATTCAACAAAATATTGACACATTCCATGCCAGCAAGGATCACAGGTTATGAATAGTTTATATAGTACCAGTAATATATTTTTTTTGTTAGAATTGTTTGATTTTGTATTTTTGTATTGACATGTATTTTGAATGGGTTGAAGTATATTTGGGTAGTAAAGAGGGTCATGGGTGTGGTACCCTGGGGGTAGGGCTTGGTCACACACTGATAACCTGTGGCAAGGATCAGACTAAAGTTATTATATCTAGGTTATCACAGTTTCTTACAATACAGGGTCTATTCCAGCTATTTGGGGAAAAAGACCCCTGGAATAAATTGGGAAAGATTATTAGGTCTAAAATAGTAAAAAGAAAATTTAAAAAGAAATACCTTGAAAAACTGAAACCTTATACATGATTTGTATAGTTTTTAACATGTTTTTTGATCATATAGCCTGTCACTTCTTTTAAGACATTTATAAGTCAAAACAATATTTTAATGTTTATGTTTGGTAAAAATTTCAAACCAGTCCGCAAATTTTGAGCTGACCAGACAAAATAACTGCTTAATATTATATTTGCATACCGGTACGTAAATATCTAAATGTAGCAGGTGGGCATTAATTGAACGATTTTAATACGCAACTTTCAATATTTCTCCGCAACTGTCACGATCCAGAGATCTGTATTTTCTATTTTCTGCCTTCAAGAGCAAATTTAATATTGAAAATTATTTCTAAACAATGACTTGCAATTTCAGTTGGAATGAAAATGCAGAAAATTATTACCTGTATTCGGAAACCTGAGATAATATTTTCTAACATCATAATGACAATTCTAGTTTATAATGAAAGAATGCTTGTAAAAATACACCTCTGCAACTGAAGAATTATTTCAAAACTTCCATGTCTTCTAAAAGAAAGAAGCTAAATAGTCAAGACTAGCATGCCAGTTTTTTATTTCAAAGCGTTTCAAAAAATAAATTTCTTGTAAATATAACCAAAAAACAAAACATATTCTCAGTTCTCAGAAAAGAAAAAAACTTGGCAATCAAGCCTAAATTATACAAGAATTCAACATAATATGAATTGTTTTCATGTTGACAAATTTGAATCTTTTAAATATTTCTAACACACTTAGTCAATTGTAATATGGGGGCCTTTCATTCCTAGGACAGTGACAATATAGTGGGGAAAATGAGCCACATTTTTACCTTCCATCTGTTCCCGATGTGGCACTTCTGTTTGGGTCCCAAAATAGTGAGAGATTCATGACCAACTTACAGTAATGCTGGGGTGTTTTGCAGTGATTTTAGATTCTAACTGTCCTTGCACTAATACAGGGCAGCCTCTTTATGGGGGATATGATCATTTAAAGGTCAAAAGTTTCTGCTATTCCCAAGGAGCAAAGGGCTGTAGTTACAACTAACAGGCGCATTAATGTTTAAACATTATAGTTTTAGCTAAATATCTTTATCAATGGTTATTGAGACAAAAAAAACCAAACAAATCCTCCCAAAATAATAGAAAGATAATATAATTTCAATAATTATTTTCAGATCAGCAATAAAGATTTCTTAAATTAAAAAAATTCATACATTTGCAAATTTAGTTACTTTCCCCTGATATATGAAAGTTTTTTTTTATATCTAATTGAACAAAATACTTCCAAATATAAATCTCACAAATTTCTAAAATTCAGCTCTTATATATGTATTTCAAATTACACACAAGTACATAAAATCTTGTACTTTTTTTATATTACTAAATGTCTTTGCAGTCACTCCTTACATTACATGTATATGTGATGAGCCACCACTTACTGTCTGATTAAATTGACGACTGTACTTTTGATTATTAAAAAAATAATTTGTCTGCATTTTTATCATAACATAAAATACATAGTAAACTAAGTCTTATTAACTTCATTTTAGCAGATAAGTTCATTATGTCTGACACATAAATATTAAAGCCGAGTTTCACGCCTGACACTTACCTGGGGAAGAGACTGTTGAGCTCATTTCTTGCACGTGCAACTGTGGTTCTCCCACAAGCTGCTCTTGTCGCTGCCTTTCCAGCTGAAGATGTAAGGGAATGGGTAAATCTGACAGTCTCATTGTGCCCTCGTTTGCTGCACTTCTAATTGGACTATGCATATTGTTTAAATCTTGTGCACTACTTGTTATCCGAACATCATGATTTTCAGAATTACTCAGCTCGTGGTTTTGCGTGTCCGGAAGTTGATATCTGTCTTCCTCTTCTAACATTTTCGGTCTGTTACCTTCATCAATTTGTAACTTTCTCTCCTCCATTTCGGAGAGTTCAATTTGTAGTTTTCTTTCCTCCAAATTGGAGAGTTCCTCACTTTCATTTTCACTATGTCTTCTCATGTTGCTATCCAACTTGGTTACATTTAATCCGTTTCTGCCTTCACTATGCCATTTTAAGGACATTTCTGCAATATAGTATAGAGACATGTGATCAATAGGGATGAAATACTTGATTTTCTGAGCCTGTTCAATATGTCGAGACAGTCCCATTAATAACTATATCGGTGCCCACAAGGCAAATCCTTTAGTTGCACATTTTAACTGCACGTACAACCACTCTATCAGACAGTCTTCACATAAAAAAAAAAAATATTCTCGAATAATTCCCTGTAGCAAGTGCCAAAGGAATTTAAAATGGAAATTTCAAATTTACATTTCGCAAACAATATTCCATTTTATGTCACAAAATGTACTTTCGTAAATAAAACTGAACTTTATACATATAAACTCTTTAATCGACTGATGAGATTTTAAGGAAATAGATATTTAGATAAAGTTCAAAATTCAGTAAATCGGGACAAAAAGCATTTTTAGGGTCATTAAATCTAGAACCCAAACATAATAAAAAACATAGCTCGTTTAACCATACATTTTAAGTCTGACTAAAGGAAGAGTAAGTTTGCTATAAAATCGGTGTTTCTTTTTTTTCTGAATATATCCATGGACGTATAGACAGTTTCATCATCCTGCCAGGCAGCCAATCTTCTAGATGCATGACTTGGAAACTGGCTAGACGCAAAGAGGGAAGGAAATAAATGACTTTCCCAGACGGATGTACCATTAAGTGGACTTGACCTTTACATCTGACCTTGACCTTCACACGACTAACCTTGTTATCATGCTTTTCAGAGACAGTTTCAATTAAATCTGACTTAGTCTAAGAGATGACTGAAAATTCTGGAGCCGCAGTACCTTGAAATGACAATGCAATTTTCCTGAAAAGTCGAGCAATTTAAATCTCTGTTTGCTAAGCAGAAGTCACATCAATATTAAATTTCTAAGAGTAGCTTGTACCCTAAGACTGTTACTGAATTTTCGTAATGGATTTTTCCTGATTTTATTTTGGAACGGTCCATTTAAATTCTAATGGGATTTCGATTACTTATTACAAAAAAATTGAGCTCCCAACGGAATTTAGCCTGGTCAGACTAAACAAATGTTCAGGCTGGCCTGGCTCTATATATACCAGAGACAAAGACGATACATTATCACTGCAAAGACGATACATTATCACTTTCCATTGCAGCAGTGAAAAAGTTAAATTATGACCAAATAAATAAAGTTACAGGAAAATATACCACAGTTTAAAAGCATAAAGAGCAAAAAAGAAGACTTTCATGAATATCTTAAAGAGATTTCTTCCTCTATTTACCATCTTGTTAACTTCACACAATGCTCATGACCCATTACACGTCTGATATTGTAAAGGTCAAATTGAACTTGAAAGGTTTTGTTTATTTAAACAGTGAGAGTGGCGCAAAACAATTATCTCTACAGCTACCTGACCCATTAAATCTTATACAAGCTTTTTTCACCTATTTTCCTATTACGAAATGCATCATAGGAATTTTACAATTATTTTAAGGTATAAAATTACTGGAAATGATATGCGTACATTAGGGCGAAATCTCCCTAGACAATATGATGCTAATGGTAGAGCAACGTTTATTTCCAGGACGGAGAATTGTTCCAATATTAAACAATTAGGTTAATAGATTTGTCTGAAATCTCTCATTTCTGACATTTTCAACACAGTCACGAATCACAGTTAAAGAAGCTTTCTCACAGCTTATAAATACCAGTAATTTACTCTCCTAGCATTCAGAACCAGATCACCCTGGAGACTAGATTTATCCTAAAGTAACCAGTGGCTAATGGTGTCATAAGAGACAATACGACCTTCACCCCTGACTTCGATTCTTAATAATAAAACAAGGGAAATTATCTTATAGATATGTACATGCAAAATATTACTTATTACTGAGCTAGTCTAGAGGAAGAGCAATGTTGTTTAAGTAGAGGATATTGAATAACTGTAGGTTTAATACTGAATTTATTGAACGAGATGAATAAAATCATATTATTCAAGCCTCTGGCGCGCAAAAAAATATTTTATTCCGCAAGGTCAGTAATTTAGCCTGCACAAATATATAATAATATATTAATCACATACTCAAAATTAAGACCGTATGGAATAAAAGGATCATTTTTCACTTAGGCACCTATAGTGTAACGCTAACATTTATGGCATCTTTAAGCTATGTTAATGTATAACGCAAATAACGCCATGTCAAATTATATGCACAGCCTTGCAATACCATTTTTATGGCACGGGTATGTGATCACTTATATGTCTGCAAGAGAACTCAAAATTTAGAATTTTGAACAATGTCAAAACTAATTTTCACAAATATTATAAATCTAGATACATGTATAAATTTCGCAACAATTCGATGGAAAAAAAACAAACTCAATCAGGACATTTAACAACAAACAAATGCATCTTTCTTCTTCATAAAAAAAGAATATAAATACCTAAATAAACATATTTTTTGCTGATGCGCAAAATTATATTTATGAAATCTGTTATAGAAAAGAAAATGTGTGTATTGTTTTATGGAGGTAAAATCTGAAAGTTTTTTTTTTGGTATTTTTTTTTCTTTTTGGGTAAACAAACTTCGAAAATTATAAAAAAGCATCAGTTTTTTCTGAGAAGATTTTTTTCCCTTCATATTGCTTAGACATATGATTTGATTTCCTATAACTTCTAGATAATGATAGGTCCACATGTATATATCTAAAATGAACAAAAGAAAATAAAACAAGTTGTCATATTTTTTGTTGCATTGATAAATTCCTTTTAACATCACATCTGTTAATATAACGGCACGTTAACTTTAACAATTAACTTATTGTCTGAGTGTTGCTTTAAAAACCCAGTGCAATATATTTCAAATATGATTTATTTTTGAAGTGAAATTCAAATAAGTGGTGCCTGTAACAGGAACCTATATCAGACATAAATGTCAACCTTTCATTGTAAATGTAATGTGGCATAGAGGGGTCATCAGGGTAGAATAGAGGGGACATATCACGGTGGCAGAGAGGGGACATCAGAAAATTTCTATCTAACACATGTGCACATGATAGCTACCCATAAGTCATAGAACTGTTATGGCATGTGCACATGGTAGAAATATTTCTGATGGCCAATTTATGCCACCGTATAAATGAGCAGTTAAATTAGTTTTTATTTAATTCTTTTATTAGTTCTTATTTAATTTTTTTTTTTAAAGTGTTGACCAGTCTAAATTATAAATCAGAATTTAATGTACTGTAAAGATGCTACAATAGGTGAACAATAATGGTCTGCTTTTCACCATTTAGAGACTTTAAAAATAAATTTCAAGAAGCCAGTGACAGACTCTATCTAGGCTAAATCCGTGTGATCCATTTTACAGAGTGACTATTTTTTTACTCTTGTCAAACCGTTGGAAAAGATATGGCCAATCTTACATTAATGATTATTTCGATGTCACTTTTACTTATCTTTTTAGATTTTAAGTTGAACTAAGCTTCTGTCAAAGCAGATGATGTTTGATTCCTCGACACAAACACACTCATATAAATATATATATATGAGTGGGGAATTATACATAGAAATCACACACAAAAATCAGAATGCAGTAGTCTGGGATCGACCACAGGTCTCTGGATTACCGGTCCAGTATGATATTCATGTATATTATATAATTATATTCTTTTTGTCCTTAGTCTTCACTTCAGGAAATGTCATTGTTTACCATTGTTTTTCATTAAAAGTTGCAATACCCGTATAACGAAATTTTTCAATAATGAGAAAATTCATACCATTAACAGAGTTCATAACAACTTTACTAAAAAATCCAAAATCCAAAAACATAGTAACTATTTCTATAGACACCCAGTATAAGCTAATTATTTTTACGTTAAAAAACAGTTATTATTTTATTATTACGACTGCTGATATGATTATGTTACAATTGACATTGGGGTTACACGATACAAAGTTAAGAACTAGTACTAAAGGACTAAAGAGTTATAATCGAGGACAAAGAACATGATTTTCGATGAACAAAGGTTAAAAATAGGACACATTAGAGGCAGCATTTTGAAATTCATTCAATAACCCAATTACGTTATCCAAACATGTCCATACAATTTGTTTGTAAGTAAAAGATTGGATTAAATATATCTCTTCAAAATAGAACAGTCGAAGTATTTTATATGGTTACGTTAGTTATGTAAAATTTATCGGTTTCAATATTGGGTCAAGCTGACATATAATTATAGATACTGGTAATGGTAATAGCATGAGGTAATGTCACGTTAACCCTTTTTACCATTACTACCCTAAATATCTTAAATGGACTTGTCCATCTTTCAATCTGGATAAAACATTCCATAATTTATCGAGATAAATTGCTAAATTGCCGGTCTGATCATGGTATGCACTGTTCACTCAATTTACAGTCAGTGCATATTTTGAAATTGTTTCTTAAACCAATCAACGACTCAGGCCATATTGACAGATTGTCAAGTTCATTTAAAATATTTAGCATGTTGAAAAGTAAAACATATACACATATAATGACTAAGGATGTTCCATGTTGACATTTATCACCAGTTTGTACCCCAGAGTATACTCTGCTATGATTTTCACTTACCTACCTGTATATCATAAATAATACCGTACATTGTATACTTTTTTTTTTCTAAGGTCATATAAATGTGTTACGATGTGTAACAGTTACATATACCTATATTGAATCCATCAACACTACATTCCATTTATAAATAAATTCAATTTACTGGGTTCACGAAAAATGTAACACTGTAACACTCAACTTAGCATGTAAATGTGTGTGAAATCGTGTCGATTATCAAGTTTCATAACTTAAAATTGAAGATTTCCACATTTTGATCTTGAACTAATTATCAATTAACATGAAAGACAGTTTGTTGGCAATTATATAAATATAAATAACTACATAAAGATGAGTAATAAAATCCCAGAACATTGCATACTTTCTTGGGCAAGGAAGTTACTTGAATGTTGCTTTTTTTTCCCCCTCTTGTGTCCCCTATTACTTCATACTTAAAACAGGTCATTAACTTTTAGCCTACTGTTGGCAACTGAATATACCAATGCAAACAGTTTAAACCATGGTCAGCTGGCATGTCCGTGCCATGTGATCATGGTCTGCAATGCTCGCTATTCATATTAACTATTTTGTACCTATTTTGAAAATTTCCCCAAAAATGATAAATAGTTTTATCCATATTGAACAATGGACAAGACCATTTAAGATTATTCAGTACTGATCAGTATTATTCACCATGTTTGGTGATTATCCATTTCTATTTAAAGAACAGATTTTCAAATTTTAATTGCCTGTCAGAAATCTGAGAATGGACCATCAAGTTTGGTAACAGGTACCATTACATCCATTGGTTTATATCTATGACGTTGTTTAAAGGTGTTTCCATTTTTTGATCCTGCTGATAATAAAAGACTTTTTATTTCGATATGTGAACAAACTTTAACGAAGATCATTTCAAGCAGTGTAAAAAGAACGTAACAAAGTTGGTAAGGCTCCATCAGTAGTTTCATGGGGAGAAGTGGACCGAGCAATTTAAGATGCCAAAAGGAAAATCTATGGTAATTCTGACCAATGGTTAATGATTTCAGAGATCGAAAATTCCACTTGTCCGCTCGTAATTACAAGTAGATTTTAAGAGAATTTGATGCAGGACGAGTACAAAAATGTTGCATGCTCATTGGATTTAATAGCAACTTGTCTTGTCCTGCAGTACGAGTGACTCTGAAAATAATTTAAGATGCCTGAAATTGTTTACATTGTAAAATAGTTGATGGATTCCAAAGTTTAAGAAAACAAATATCTATAGCAGACAAAGATTATCAAGAAATATGGCAAACCTTTTATAGTGTTTGGAAATCTATCAATTAATGGACTTGATGAGCGTCGGCCATTTTGATGGTTCTCTACTGTTGGTGAACACGGGTCATCCTTCATTTTGGGATTGTTTCCTGAAAAAAATATATATTTCAAATATTAAAATAAAGAAAAATAAAACTGGTCTTATTCATGCTCAATACAATATTAATCTCAAATTAGTCTGATACTTTAATACAATATAAAATTTTAAAAACATTCAAAAGCTAGACTTTTTTATAACACAGTGAAAATACAAAAACAAAATATCAGGAAATTTTTATAACAATATGTTCTACAAATAAAAAGCTTTACAAATAAAAGAAAATAGCTAAAACTGTTTATTCATTCATTAAAATAAATATAGAAAAAAATCTCAATATATTATTCCTTCTTATAAATACAACATCTTCCAAAAACAGACTTGTTTATGAATACAATACAGATAAATCTTTTTTTTTAATAATCAACAATACAAAATATCAGGAGTAAATCACACTAATTTTATATAAGACAAAATTAATTAACCAAATCAGAAATTAAACAAAAATATACTCATAAATAACTAAAATCAATATTTATACACTTTGAAATAACAAATAGTCTAAAAATACACATACCCTAAATCAGTTTCGCTTATTTTAATAAATTACCGGTACAGCATATAAAATAAAACAAAACTATTTAAAAATGTGCACTCTTTATGTAACGTCTTTGAACGCGATAACTATAACTTTATCCAATTAAGAAAAATAAACACAAAGAAATAACTCTAATCCAATAAAAACATTTTTTCTGAAAAGGAAAAACAGGGTCTCGATTTCTAAAGTGTTTACCATATTTTTATTTAGTCCTCATTCAATCTATGACAAGTTTCTCTTTTTTTTTAAGCTATTAACCACTCTGTGTGTACGAAATAAATTGGAAATGCATGTGGCCTATAAAATAAGTGATTGATTGATTATAAAGGGCACACCTTATTGCATGGCGGCAACAGATGATCAAAGTCATCTACCTATTGAAATACCTTACAAAATTACTGTATCACCTCTAAAAATAACCCCATCTTTCATCATGTTTTTTTTAGGTAGCTAAAATATCCTAAAAGAAAAAGTAAACTCGCATGCATGGTTATACTTTTTTCAAAATATTTAGTATTAATGGATTTGTATCAATGGGGCATTTTCTATTATCAACCTTGTTTTATTTGGGCTAAGTTCTTGTAACTGGTAACTTTTGATACAGAAAATAATAAAACAAAAATTTGTTTATTAAATTTTAATTCTCTATTCAGTACATTTGTGAAGTTTGGGACAAGTTATTTCTAAAAGTGTCACATGTTAGACTATGGTGGCTGATTTGTGCCCTTTTATCAAACTTCTCCCCGCACCCTTGCTAATTAGCATGTTTTTGCTGCGCACCCCTGCCATTTTAGCTTGTTAAATTTCGACTTTTCGCTTGGAGGGCGCGGGGCGAAAACACAAATGGCACAAATCAGCCACCATATTTAACTGTATTTCAGTCCAGTGTTTCTAATAGACTGGCGTATCAGGTTGAAATGTTTTGTTTTCAAATTTACAAATACACTTACAAGCCTCCAATCAATGAATGTTTAAGTCAAACTTAACCCTTTAAGTGCGGGATTACTAGTTCGTCACTTGCTAGGAAATTGATTAATTACTGGTTAGTTATCCAGTTAAGCTTGTCCGGTGGACTGACAGCCAGATATGACTTGCAATCGTCTATGCAGTTTGAACATGAGCGAATCCAATATTGTTGGCTGCTAGATTCTGATAATTTTGATATTAGCATTCCTGGAACAATTTTAATTTTTTACCGGGTATTATTCAAAATCAATTTCTTTTTTTTTTGTCATACTTTCCAGCCTTAGTTATATTGCAAAATTGGCTTTTACCAGGTTGATCAGTAAAGTACTTTAGTATTCAGCATCAGCAGTGCATTTATTAGAATATTAGAAAAATTTATCCTGTAGTTAATTCATCGGCCAATGACTCCATTTTTTCCTGTTTACAAATCTTTAATAATAATACAAATATATAATACATATATCTCTATACTATCATGGAGGCATGCAAACACCGATTATCTTCTTATCCAGCTTAAAATATTTAACAAAATATCCATGAAATCATGTTTAGTACAGCCATACACTGTGACCTTCAACCACAGGTCAAAGTCATGGATACACCCTGTTTGTAAACTAATAATGACACATTGGTCCAGATTTCGGAAAGAACAAACATGATATACATAATACAGGCATGGTGATATCTTATTAACTATGTCAAGTTTAACTATGTCAAGTTAGGATCATCATATCTAGGTCAGAATAACACGTTATTTAAAATTCATGTAATATATACACCATACATTCTCCCAGTTAAGAATACATGTATATCATAGGTACAAAAATAATTCAAATTTTCAGTAAGCAGTCACTTAATGTATACATATCTTTACCATTACTCTTTTTTGAAACTTTTAAATTAATAAAATTTCAGAAAATGGTCAGACTATTAAAATTTAAATGTAGAATATGATGGATTGGCACCACTGTTAAGATACTTAAGCCATATGATTAAACTACCAGAAAGTCACAAATCATTCAATTGCATCTCTTTTGCTCCATTAACCCTTTTCAAAAATATTCAAATTACACTATACAAAATACTTATCTTTATATAAAAGGTCATGACCTTTTATGTAACTATATTCTTTGTGATTTAATGCCTTATGGACTACAGGGACCTTGACTTAACGAGAAAATTCAGGAATAATTGACTTCTTGCAAAAAAATTTAAAATAAACACTGACCTTGTTTTGTTTTTTCTTTCTTATTTTACCTTAATAAACTTGACATCTGTTTATTAAAATGGGAAATTCCAATGGTGCAAACGAAAAAAAATGAAAAGAAAAAATTATTAAATTGGTTGCCTTTAAATGTTTTCACAATTATCAATTTCCTGTTGTACAAAAACCAAAATGTTTTTTTTCAATGTCACTTTGTCCTAACATATCCTATTGTACTTAAGCTTAAAGGTTTTGTTATAACCCTGATACTAAGAACTAAATTCCCGTAACTGTTATCATATAATTGTAGTACTAAAACTATGACCACTGTATGAAACCACTGTATGAAACTATGACCGCTGTATCAAACTATGACCACTATAAACATCAAAATTTTAATGCCTAGAATATGTGTCACATTTTAATCACACAAAAAGTCTAATAACTTTAACTATGACCCTTAAAAATAGTATCAAGAACATCAGATATTTCTGTGCTTGATATAGGTTTAATATTTATCTAGATCGAAACTGCTTATGTCACAATTATTTTAGAAGGTCTAGGTTGCAGAATTAATGATTTTAATACCATGTCAAGGGACAACAAAGAACACATTTTTATATGACACCAGTGAAGTGGGAATATTATTCCAGGAACCAGACTAGAAAGTGATTAAAATAATTTTATGTCTACCAGCTTATCAGGAATTTGTCTTAGTGCTTTTATCTACATGTATCTCGCTGCCATTTTTTCATTTTTTGTTCCTCACTTAACAAGGATAAAAGTTTGTGTCATAGCCTAATTGATCTATAGTTACCATGCAATACTTGACACCTTAGTCAAGCAGAGCTTTAAAAAATTCAGTCTCCATAAAACTACAAGCAGAAATATTTAACATGTATCATTTTTTAGACAAAAATTGCAATTATTTTTCTTTTGATGTTTGTCGATATCAAATTATCAAAATATTAATATTTTAATAACAAGGTATATTTTCTGTGCATGACTAGGTAATTTCAAAGAAAATTTCTAATTTATTTTAATTAAATTGTCTTTTCTCTTGTTTCCATGTGTAACAAAATACAAGCAGCCACTTTTACCATACCAGACTTAAAACCATATAATTTTAATCATTACCCTGAAAGCGCATAGCCTTTGACCCCAGCAATGAGCCTGCCAAGCTAACTTAAAATTTTCATCCCCTAAATTGATAATCGACAGTTCCAAAAATGGAAGCTGGACAAGTCCATTCACGAAATTCAGCAATGGGACAGGGTTAATTACAAGAGCTGTCCGTAAGACAGCGCGCTCGACTTTTTTATTGCTTGCCAATAAAAAAAGTTTTTGCAGTAAAAGGCAATACAAGAATCTCTGTATTTTTAAAGTGAACAATGGCCATGAGCATTAAGATATTTAGTGAAGAATTATTTTACTGAATTGTGTGATACCCTTGAACACTGCAGCAAAGTTTGAAATGTTTAAGTCAAAAGAGGGCTGGTAAGAAAGAAAAAAAAACTGAGTTGAGCCTTAAATAAATTTAATAGTATTAAACCCACTTGAGAGAATAAGGTATTTTTACGTCACTCAGAACACCTTGTAAATGACATAATAACATAATTTTTCAAGAAATCTATGCCAAGGAAGCAGTATATTTTTGTACAATCAGCATAATATATAGATTTGACTTTGTATGTGAAAGTATTATAGTTACCTTATAATACAAGTAATAGATAAATTTTATCAAGCTTTTTTAGATGTTGTCAGTTGGTCACAAGTGGATCTCTTTCACACAGGCTGTGGGTGACTGGTTACTTTTCGTGGGTCCACTATGTAGATAATGCGTTGTAAACTGATATTTGAATTACATGAAGGAAGTTCAATTCATTATTTAATGTCATGCTAAATTAATATCTCAAACAGTTCAGTCAAAAAGTGGACTGGTACTAAAAACTTAACCAAGATTCTAAGTCGATAAAAGGCCTTAATTTTTAAAACAAATCCTTGACAGAGTTACCTTCTCTTGCGTACAGATGGGGGTAATGATGTGAAATAGCATTAAAAGTTTCAAAGCAATATCTCAAAGGGTTAAGGCAATAAGTGGATTTTACCCATATTCAATGTATTTTCTAAGTCAAAAAGGGGCATAATTCTGTCAAAAACCTTGACAGAGTTATGTCCTCTTGTCTGTTGATGAAGGTCGTGATGGTAAACAAGTATGGTCAGTTTCAAAGCAATACCTCCAATGGTTTTGAAATAAAGTGAGGTGGTACAAAAAACTTAACCA